AGAGAGAAAGAGAGAGAGAGAGAGAGAGAGAGAGAAATTCGCATGGAAAGAAAGGAGAAACGATGTTTCTTCTGGTTAGGCGAATTGTTCTCTTATTTCTTTCAACGTGTTTCATTAGCGTTATAAGAAAAAAGGGAACGATTAGTCGATAATAAGCATAGAAAGTTGTTCCACTTCTTGTTCGCAATAATATTCGTGCATTTTTATTTTTGTATTTTATTGGTGCTTCCGGGATTTTATTATGAAATACATTCTTGCATATTACATAGTATATAGAAACTATAAGTATGAAAAATGATATTTTTATGCAGATTGCAAAAGGATTTGCATATTGAACGAAAACTATTCGAATTATATTATCAAGATTATCTATTTCCGTTTTCGAGTGATATCATACTTTTGTTCAAACAATTTATATGAAATATTAATTGATTACTGTTAGAAATTCTTTTCTATAGACGAATGTATCAAACAGAAAGAATAATTTTGTGCGTGAAAGAAATAACTTCGAGCTTCCCTTGCAATTCCAGGAAGATAATATTTAACGACGTAATAGAGATTCATACGCTGTTTGATGTTTCACGTATTTAAGATTTTGACTCAAATATTTCTATGATTCTACGCATATATTTATCTATTATCCTCGCTATACTATTTTGTTCTTTTTACGTATTATATATATTATATACATATATATATATATATGTCTTTTGAATCAGCTACAATGATTAATATTAATGTCAAGTTCTCATTCTGAATAACATCGCTATTATCTCTTGCTTTATTTGGTTCACGTGTAATTTACATGAAATTTTTTAGCGTTTTTTATATATATACGTGTATTTTAATGTACGATATTTTTCTTGTACGTGTTTTATATAATAAATTATATTTTGGTTTTTGAAGTGTATATATATATGTCGATAAAAATGGGAAAATTGAATTTGATCTGGTTATAAAAAAAAAAAAAAATAAAATAAAATATAGCACAAACAATCATATAATCACGAATAAACGATAAAATGCATTATAATTGTCGTTTATTTAATTTTTATAGTCATACAAGATATCGAACGAGTCCGAATATATATATATATATATTTCGTTTTCTTGAAAACGTTTAATGAAAAAGATTGATTTTATATTTTTTAATAGTTGAAAAAATTACGTATATATTATATAACAATTTTCTTGATTGCTCATCATCAGGAAGATATCGATTCGAGCAGAAAATGTTTCTCCCTATATACGTACTTATTATTATAGACTTTGATGGGCAATTGATACTCCGTTTTGTACCTCCTACGATTCAAAATCGATGTTACAAA